GTGCTGGGATCCGGCTGCAAATTTGGGGGACAGCATCGGGTCTCGTGAGCGCGCTGGCCTCATCCCGCCGGGCTCACTGGTGCCCTTCACCTCCTCCCCATCCCCTCAGGCTCCATCCTGCGCCGCTGGAAGAGAAACTGGTTCGTCCTTTACCTGGACGGCAGCTTGGTTTACTACCATGACGAGACGCAGCGTGACATGGACGGCCGGATCCACGTCAAATACAGCTGCCGGGATGTGAGGACCGGCCGCGAGTGCGGAGGTGAGCAAAGCCCTGTGGCCCCAAGCCCATCCCGCGCGGGGCTCCGTGGGGCCGCATGCCTTTTTTGTTGCCGCTCTGCAGGTCTGAAACGTGTTTGTGCACATCTCAAATCCCACCACCCCCCAAAAATCCAGGCTGCCTAATTCACCCCTTTCTAGCTCCCAGCCAGCACCGCGCTGTCCCCCACAAGATGCACGTTGCATCCTCCGTTGCTTTTCCACGGGGGAAGGAAGGAGAAACTCTCCCTCCTGGTTTGTGCTTGTTCAAAACACGATCCCATGGCCCTGACTCATCCCTCGCCGTCTCGCACAAACAAAGAGAACGCAACAGCAGCTCAGCTCAGCCCCGGCAGCCCACGGCCGCCGCACAAAGCCGCCTTTCTTGGGCTTTGCGAGCGGTGGCGGTGAAGCTGGGATGCCGCGGTGGGAAGCGCAAACCCAAAAATTTATCCCCACCGGAGGGTCCCGCCGAGCCGTGAGCTGGAAGAAGGCGCGGGCATAAATGACCCTCGTGGATTTAAGGCTCTGTTCTCGCTCACAATCCAACCGCGGTAGCAAGCGTCTCGCGCTTCAACAAAATGTGGGTGCCTGCTGCAAGCTGGCGAATTCAAAGCAAACGCAGCTCAGCCGAGATTTCTGGCAGGTTTCTGCCCTTCCATTTTCTTTCTGCCCTGGTGGGTGGAAATTTCTGCTCGCCAGCTCTTCGCCCGTGTTGGCTTTTAACCTTTGAGAGCCTGATCGTACCTTGGAAGCAGAGACGGGGGCTGAAATTAAACCCGAATTACGAGCATGGCGTCCCCAGCGGGTTTTTGGTGATTGCATGAGTTAGTGGCACACGGAGGGGCTGCTCGTGCCAGGGGTAATTTGGAGCCTGACCCTCTTCTGAGAGGATCTCCAGGGCATCTCTCTCGCTGAGGCTGGATCCTGCCTGTTCTGCTTCCAGACGTGCAGCCGCCCGAGGGGAAGAGCCGCGACTGCCTGCTGAGCATCGTGCTGCGGGACGGCTCCAAGACGATGCTGTGCGCCGAGAGTGAGGACGACGCCGTGTAAGCCGAAATCCCGCCGCAGCGGCACCAAAATCCCCTCGGCGGCTTTTTTCATCCGAATTATCCAAGCCTGGCCCATGCGAGAGCCCTGTCCCGCTCTCACCGCGTCCCACCCGTGGCTAACACCCCACGCGGCCCTTGTTTTCTCGAACACCTGCGTTGGCTCGCAGGGCGATAGGCACAGGCGGAGATTTGGTTTTCCCGCTGAATAATTCCGAGCCAAAAGCAGCTGTTCTGAGGCAGTCGGTCTCCTGCGGGGCAGGTTTCCCTCCTGGGTGAGAAATCACCTCTCGGCCCAACCGAGGAAGGGTTTTCATCGGTATTTGGCGATAAAGAGTGGGAAAGTGAAATCCTGATTGGCTTAAGGCTGTGCGCAGCAGAAGGAAACACCCACTTTTAGCACTGTTTCCCTCCTATTGCTTTCTATAAATTTAAGACTTTGGGTTTTGTAAAACTTGAATTTTGGAATAATTTTTTTTTAACATTTTTA